TGTGCATGTCTTTGCAGCACGGAGCATGCTGGGGAGAATCCTGCCTTCCCATTTGGGGCTTTACACCCTGCAGTAGCAGGGAATCATGGCTCTGTTTTATGCCACTGATTTTGCTCAGTTCACCCCAAAAAGTGTCTCTGAACACTTATTTTGCCTTTCTTTAATGGGGTGCRCCAAGCCCAGAGCCCTGCCCTTGCACAGATGAAGGTACTCATCTAATATGCAGGATTTTCATACATTCTGATTTACCATTTGGGTTTTTTGTCTTCCTCACATGCTCCCTTGAGCTGCTGTCTGTAAGTTGATTATTCAGAGCCTGGGATGTTTCTTGCAGARTCCCGGTAAATGGTGGAAAAGTTTTACAAAAGAACACAGAGCTGGCAGCTTGTTGCTGGTGGGTCAGTGAGATSCTGGGTATGATTTCAGGGGGAAGGTTCCCCCTTTGGATTTTGTGCTTAATGAATTGAGGTCACTGTGTTAAGGCAACATGTGGGAGGCGTGCGCAGGCTGTTATGGGGTGTGAGCATCCCTGAATTGGCCTTGGTTTATCTGGCCACCCTGCAGCAGTTAAAAACTGTGTTTTCTTGYTCTGGTGAGGGGCTTATCCTTGTGCAGAGGAGCAGAATTTGGGAGCTGTAGCAGCCCAGAGCCCAGCCCAGGGGGGATCAGGGTATTTGTCCACAGGGTCGGTGGCAGCGTGGCTCTCCCTGCACCTGTCCCTCAGCAGGTTCCCAATATCCCAACCCTCTCTAGCTCTGAGATCTCCCCTCCTGCAGCCACTCTCCTTTCCCTTTTCARAACTGATTTATTGCTAGACCTCCCCACGACAGAATTAGTTTTGTTCCATCTTGGCCTTGAGTGACCTCCTGGCGTGCGAGTGCGGATGCTGAATGGCGGGATTTGAGAACAAAGCRTTTCTGCACGCACGTTCCGGGGAAAACTCTCTGAGAGAGGTCAAACACTTCATCTGGTTTATGAATCCCAGACAAAAGCATCCGTCCTACTTCAGTAGATGGGATAAGTGACTGTAGACAAGTACTCAGAGAGGGCCACTAACYTTAGAGGATTTTATGTCAGACCTCTCACTGGTACAGTGGAGAGCATGTGATGAGGCAGTGAAGTGTTTAATATTAGCACAGCAGTGTTGTTCTAACCTTAAATCTCTCTTCAGGCAGAAGTACCCCTAAACCTGTGGTTCTACAGCGTTGTTGCTGCCAAAAATAATGTCATTCCACCTCTAGGTTGTAAATGAGCTTGAGCAATGGGCATAGGTTAGCATTGGGAAATGCTGTTTACTCTGGTTCAGCAAAGGGCWGAGCCTTTCCAGCAGCTCTTGAAGTTCCTGGAGCAGTGAGTCCCCTTTCTTGTCTTGTGCTATTTCACTGACATCTGTAGAGTTACACTGAAAGTGAATTTAATTGCTGTTGCTGAAGGCATAKTGCTGTACAGCATCGATAATCTTCAGGCACTGGAACTCCCAAAGCTTGGCTTGGTTGCTTCAAGAAAAAACAATGAATTTCTGATAAGCTTTGTTTAAGGGCGGCTGGTGGTTTGAAGGAGTTAGGGAGTTTTCATGTTGAGAAGGCAAGATTAAACTTTCTCTTCCTAAAAAAAATACTTTGACTTTGTTTGGGCTGAAAGCAAATCCAAGAAAAAGTAATTTTTGTCATTTTTATAGCTTCRTGTTTGTGAATTCTTTGGGTATGCTGTGTGATAGGAGTTTGTTTTTCTAGATGGTATTAAGAGATWAAAAAAAAAAATTAGATTCTAGAGTTTTGATAAATGGTAGCAACCCATGACATGCAAATAAAAAGTCCCCAGAATATCTGAAGGACTTGGGCTCTTATAGATTTTTTTTTTCTCTCATAGCCTCTCCTAGAAAAACTGCATCAATCCTTTTAGCTTGCCATACTCCAAATAAATCAGATTTGACAATTTAATTCAATATTCTTTCGCTTTAAAAGCCCCACAGGAAACAGAATCTCAGCCCCTGGCTGCCAGTCAGAGCAGTGACRATGAAGCTGCTCTACCTTGCCTTGGTGGAAGGGTTTGCCCAGGGTAGATGCTGTGCAGCTTTATGTTAGCATAAGAATTCCCAGAAAAAAGGGATTTCCTTGCAGTGCTTTCAAAGCTACTTTAGGTCTCTTTGGACTGCTGGAGTGAATTCAGTCACTGAGGATTTAGATCTTTGAGCCAGATGTGGGTTTTGGGTACAGCAGAGTCAGCCTTTTCTGGAGTCCCCATGTAACCCTGGCTAGCCTGGGATCCCTTTAGTGATGCATATTCTCTTATTTGGCAGAAAACATTGAAAAGAGTTTTTTTTTTGCAGAGAAACTGAATTAAATGGAGTGAAAAGTAGGTATTCAGGCTGTGATACACTGATTACCTGTCTCCAATATCCTTCTTTTTAAGTTATTTAAAATTTGAAATACTGTCTTTTTTCAAGAGGCAATAAAAGGACTCCCTTGCCTACCACCACAATCGAGCCAGTTTTGGTTCCCTTGAATTCCCTTTTGCTTTCTTTGAGTGATCTGGAGAGCCCTGCTTGGATGATTTGTGTCAACCCCACCCTGGTTAAGCAGCAATGGCAGGGTCAGGACTGTCATTTCTTAAGGAACACTTGTCCCACTCAGTCCTCAGTGACCTCCTTGGAGCTGATGACCAAGGACAAGATCATTCTGCTGTGTCCATTTCTGGTGTGGGGACTCTGGGGTGTGAGCACGTCCTTACCAAGGAAAGTAAAAAAGTTCCYGAGTCAGAAATGGAAATAACACCATTCTGCTGTGGGGAAGGGGGAATCCCTTGGAGGCAATTTCCAGATTTCCAAGTGAATCCATCCTCCAGCAGCTGCTGTGCAAGGCTGTGATTCCTGATGCATGAGAAACAGGCAGTGCAAGGTGGAACGTGTCTCCATGCTGCATGGACAGCAACCCCCTCTGAGCCCAGCAGATGTTTTGGGCTGACACTGGGAACATTAAATGCCTGTTTATTCCTTTATCTCAGGAAGAAACACCATTTGGCTGCAATTTGCTCGCTGGCAGTTGGGATGAGTTACTGACCTGGGTGAGCAGTGTCYGATGAAGGATGTGCCAGCCTGCAAGAGGGGCATCCTGCAGAGCCTGTGGTGCTGGCAGGGATTGGGCATTGCCCTCTGAACGCCTCTTCCCCTGTCCCTCAGTGTGGCTGTGGATGTGTGTGTGTGGAATTGCTGTTCCATACTGAGCCAGGGCTCTCAGAGAGGCCTCTCAGCACAAGGAGCTGCCCTTGGAGTGTATTTGGGGTTTCTAAGGAAAGCATCAGTTCAAGTTGGCTTCTCCTTGCCCATCCTTGGTGGCAGTGGTCAGCAGCCCTGATCTCATGCTCTGCCCCAATTCCCCTTTGGGCCTGGGTTCTTGCCCTTCATCTCCTTTTCTGATGTGGTACT